CAGGGTTGCACTGTACCGGTATCCAGAGTAAACACTGAGAGACCTTGCTTCAGGGGATGAGCAAGCCTTGACGCTTGGGGGTCAGGAGGGAACTTGCTCTGGGGGCAGGTGAGCACATCACTGCACCTTCCGCTAAAGCAGCTGGTGCTGGCCGTTATTGGTGGCAGGACCCCTGAACTGATCCAGTCTGGCAGCTTGTGTGTTTTTAGAGTTGTAAAAGTGACACAGGGATTTGGGCCAAGCAGTGATGCCAGATGTACTACAGATAAGACCTTTGCCCTGGAAACTTAACCTGAAGGCAGGATCCCTGTGTGAAACCTACACCGTGTAGCCAAGTTTGCTGAAATACAACCTAGCCAGCCTGGCAAAGGCAGGGAGGATGCCTGTTCAAGGAAAATCCTCTAAGATGCTAGTACCCTGCTCCTACTTGTCTGATTTGGTGCTTTTTCTTGGTATGGTCGTGAGGTTGCCCCCTACAGACAAACATTCCTCAACAATGGATTAACTGTCGTTAGGATACATAACGACCTTTTACTCCTGTCTAGCTCTTTTGTGCCATCTAGCTCTGTCTGTCCATAGATCACCTAGTGCTGTACAGTGATGGGTAAGTATCTCAGTCCCCATTTCACAGCAGGAGAAACTGAGGCAGAGAACAATGAAATTACTTGCCCAAAGCTACTTACTGATTCGGTGGCAGACCCCAGGTGTCCTTGCAGTCTGTTGCCCTGTCCACTGGGCTTTACTGCCTCCCTGGGCATTTTTTTACAAATGTATTTAAGAAAAATGTGTTTAGTACTGATCTCTTTGCTCTCTAAAGCATCTCTCATTAGAGGATGGTTCTAAGAACAACTTAATGGAGCCTTACAGCGCCACTGAGATGGGGAAACTGAGGCACAGAAGGAGTGTGACTTGCTTGAGGGTACATACCTGGCAAAGATCTGGATCCCTATTGCCTTGCTCCAACTTCTACACCACATATGCTCTTGTCTTTTCACCCCTTGACTTTTTCCTTCCCATCACTGATCTGAGCAATCTGTGCTGTAACAGGCTGAGACACAAGTTTTCCCAGCTTATACTCCACATCCAGGCTGAACATCCAGCAGGCAAAACTAATGTGCTCTGCTGCCTACCTTTTTGTGAGCAGAAAAATTTTACTCTGCCCGCTAGCAAGCTTGATAATTATTCCCTTTGGAGCTGTGTTGTAGGGAAAGAGGAGCTGAGAGGTGGCCACGAAATAAAACATTTTGATTCATTGTGCGATGAGATGAGAACTGTGTGTGTCCCCATCTCCCCGGGAAGGAAACTCAAGGGAAGGGTGTCTAGTTATTCATTGTTTGTATTAAGGTAGCACCTTAAAGGCCCAGCCAAGATCGAGGCCCAATTGTGGTCGGTGCTGTACGTACATATAAGATACGCCTACACCAGGGGAGGCCAACCTGTGGCTCCAGAGCCGCATGTGGCTCTTCAGAGTTTAATATGCAGCTCCTTGTCTAGGCACCAACTCCGGGGCTGGAGCTACAGGCGCCAACTTTCCAATGTGCCGGGGGGTGCTCACTGCTCAACCCCTGGTTCTGCCACAGGCCCTGCCCCCACTCCACCCCTTCCCACCCCCTCCCCTGAGCCTGCCATGCCCTTGATCCTCCCCTTTCCTCCCTCCCCCTCCCCCCCCCCACCTCCTGCACACCATAAAACAGCTGAGCATGGGAGGCGCAGGGATGGAGGGTTAGGTGCTGATCAGCAGTGCTGCTGGCGGGTGGGAGACACTGGGGGCTGGGGGGAGAGCTGATGGGGCTGCTGATGTGTTACTGTGGCTCTTCGGCAATGCAGATTGATAAACCATGCCTCACCATCTACGCCAGGAGTGGGCAACTTGCGCCTGAGAAGGAGCCAGAATTTATGTGAGTAGGGTGCCCTACGTGCCTGAACCCTCAGAGTATGTACCCTACATGGCTGTCTGTATGCCCAAGTAGTGCCTGCCACGGGAAAGGCTCTGGTTGCCAGGAGACAGCTGGGAAAGGATCCAGTTATGGGGAGACAGCAGGGACCTGCCAGAGTTTTTTCCTTACTCTGTCCACCTTCTGGAGCCTCTCACTAGAGCACGTAGCTGCCCATATAGTGCCTGTATTCTATACGCTACCATTAGTGTAGACAGTCATGGTGAGAGATTAGACCAAGCCCCAAAAAGCTCAGACTAAACAGACAACAGACATAAGGTGGGTGGCAGGGACTGTTATCCCCGTTTTACTGGTGGGGACTGAAGCGCAGACACCTTGACCGTCAAATTTTCAAACATGCCTATGTGATTTGGGAGCCTGTCTTATAGGAAGTCAATAGGATTTAGGATCAAGTGCCTAAAATCACTTCAAAATGATACTGAAGTGCTTTTTGAAAATTTCACCCTTGAAGTGACTTAGGCCCCTCAGTACTGTTGTCAAGTGACTTAGGAGCATATATCCCATTGGCTTTCTGAGACTTGGGCTCCTAAGTCACATAGGTCCTTCTGAAAACTTCACCTTCAGTGATTTGCCCAAGGTCTTCCAGGAGGGAATTAGTTCCCTGCTCTGCCATAGAACCCAGCCCTGCATCCCAGTCCAGCACTGTAGCTGCCAGCTCATCCTGACACTCACTTGTCTCACCCCTGCCCTGGCAGCCTGCCCCACATGGTAGTCGCGCCCCACCTGCCTCTCCCCAGTGAAAGTTGCTGAGTTTATTGCTCCTCTGCAGCTGCTTCCATCCCAGAACAATAGAACTAGTTGTATACCTACTGCCTGCAGCTGTCTCTCTCTAGCCCTAGGAACCCCCTTGCCACATCCCAGTGCTTGCCAATTAACTTTGCATCCAGTTACCTCGCTGCAATGATCCTTGTACCTGTCTTTTCATGGGCCTCTCTCTTGCCTCCTTTGTTCCCAGGGTAGCTAAAGGCTGCTTGCTGCCCCCAAGATGGGATACCTTGATTCTATGTGTATGTCTACACAACGAAGAACCTGCGTCTGGCCTGCACCAGCTGACCCAGCTTGTGGAGCTCAGGCTGTATAGATTTCCGGGCTCAGGCTGGAGCCCGAGTACTGGGACCCTGTGGGGTCGAAGGGTCTGGCAGAGCAGGCTGCAATCCATTAGCACTGTCCCTGCCACTCCAGGTCTCTGCTCTGTGCTGCCCTTTCTCCTGCACTCGCTAGCTGTATTTCTTCCCTTCACTTCCACAGGATGGGGAACGTGGAGCGTGGTCTTCCCTCCCTAAGAAGCTATCCTTGGGGATTCCGTCGTGCTTTGCCTCCCTCTGAATGCTACACAGGAACCTCTTGGAAGTCCTATAGTGCCATTCTTTAGCTGGCAGCATTTATTTAGACTGCAGTAGCATCTAGGGGCCCCAGTCACAGATCAGGACTTCACTGTGCAAGTGCTGTACAATCCCACAGCAAAAAGGCAGTTTCTGCCCTCAGGGGCTTTCAATTGAAGCAGTAGAATCTTTGTCCCCGGGCCCAGCACCCCAGCTGTCTGTTCCTCACTCTGATCAAAGGCCCCAGCAGTGATTAGCCCTGGCAGTCACACTGCCTCATTGCAGCTTTTAAAATAAAAACAAGGCTTGTTAACAACTTGTAGGAAGTAGAGAGAATCCCAGGCCCTGTCTGCGCAGATGGGGCTGGTTTTGCACCAATGTAGCCATGACAGTGCAAATCCCCAGATGCACCACATTGGTGTGAAAAGGAGCTCACAGTAGTGTGATGTGTTTGTGTTGTAAACCAGTCCAAGCCCTGTTTTATACCAATGAAATGCATCTACACTTGGGGGTAGGGGGGTAGTACCACTGTAACTACCCCTATAGGCACTAATCTATAGACTGTTTTTAAAAATAATAATAATTCCACCCCTAACTGATATAGCGTGTAGACAGTGCTAGGCAGAACACAGACTACAGGATTGCAGCTTGTGCACAGCAAAAAGTTCTCTGACTGAGTTAGCTTGAGAGTGGATGTCTTCAGACCCAGGAAATTCCTGTGCTGGAGTGTGGAAGGGAAGATCCCCTTTTGACTGCATAGTAAATCCCAGGGTCCTTTTGTTTCACCATAGTTCCAAGTAGTCTAGTGACTCATGTCCTCTTCTGCTGCCTCTCTGGGCCTGCATCTGTCCCATCAGGTATGGCCAATAAGCAGCATCTCTCTGGTGGCTCCCTTTCAGTCCATCATTCTTTGTTTCCCCTGCCGACTCCTCCAGGAATGCTCACTAGGCATTGTGCCCCCAAACCACCCCAGTGAGCTTCTCTGTAGAAAGATGACAAAGGTTTGGAAGTCTGATACAAAATACTATCCCTCTAGTTAACCCTCTGCTATCCGGATGGGGTGTTTATCCGTCTGCTGGAGACCCTAGGATCAGTAGTGTGGGGCTGTCTTCCCCAAGCAGTGCGAGCCTGCCATTGCACTATTGCCATGGGTAGGAGCCCAGAATGCACCTGGGGCCTCAGAGCAGCCTGGATAGTTTTGTCTGGCTGTCTTTCCCTACCCTCAACCCCCACTGCAAAATAAAAATGTCTTCCGAAGGACCTCTGGACAGGAGAAACACACATACGCGAACACCCTTCTCTTGCTAAGAGCAAACAGGAGGCTGTTTAATCTGCATCTGAGGGCATTTGTCGACCAAAGTGGGTTTCTTTGGGTGCTACCCTAAGGAACCCTGCTTCATTAGCCTCTGCCATCTCAGGATCTGAACACACATCCTAATGGTTAACTAGTTAACCCTCAGTCACCCCCTGCCAGGTACATGTCCGTCTGTGAAATGAGGAGGATAAACTGAGGCAGGAAGAGGGGTCAGTCAGATGAGTTTTCTGGGGTCATTCTGTTGAGCTGGGAGTAGAACCCAGTACTCCTGACTGCCAAACACTTTGCTCTTTTCCACTTCAGTACCTTCCCCCGCCCTGTGTTCCTCTGTAAAAGCTCTACATAATTTATAACTCCCCCTACTTTATGGAAGCATGCACACTAATTTTGTCCTCCTGTCTTTTACAGTTGGGAGCCGAAGGATCTAAGCTGGCAGGATCCTCTCCGCAGAATGCGCTCTTCACCAAAGAGCGGGCCAAAGCAGGCGAAGATGAGAATCCCGGCGGGACCTTCAGAAGCACTAACATTGCAGTAGCCCGGCGCCTGTGGGTGGCAGTGACCCCCTCAGCCCCCACCCCTCCATCTCAGACCGTGATGGTGTATTGACCGAGAAGAGCCCTGCTTTTTTTTATTTTTCCTTCCCCTCCCTCCCCCCTCAAGTTTTGGTGGCTTTGGGATTTGTATGGCAGCAGCGTAACCGTGGAGAGGCCGGGGTATCACAAACTTATGGATTTTGATAAGAGAGGAGGGAAAGGGGAGACAGAGGAAGGCAAAAGAATGTCCAAGGCAGGTGGAGGAAGGAGCAGCCATGGGAGCCGGAGCGCAGGGACAAACTCTGGAGTCTTAATGGTGGGCCCCAACTTCCGTGTCGGGAAGAAGATTGGATGCGGCAATTTCGGGGAGCTCCGTCTAGGTGAGATGGGCCTGTTTTATTTTCATCCTTGCTGTGATTGCACACTGTGGTGCTACTGTGAAATCCATCCAGCTCTTCCCTTTCCCCACTGGGAATGCTGAGGGGTGATCCATATCAGTGCTGTCCTCCTTTATGAGAATAACAGGAGGAACCATTCCCCACCCTCCTGCTATAGATCTTTACAGGGAGCCGTGTCAGACAGCATTAAGGCTGCAGGTCCAGAAAATTGGCTCTTTTATGCAAGAGGTAATGCCCTGATTTGCATTTCACAAATATGTATTGCCTCATTTGCATAAAATCTCCCAGAAATACTCCTTTCTCCCTGGTGTCTTCTCCCCAGTGTCCTTGCTCTGGACTCTCTGACCACAGAAGCCCTGCCTGAAAGGTGTGAGTTAAAACATTTCTAAGCCCATTCTAAAGCAGAAGGGCTGATGGTCACAGAAGGGGTTTCTGATCACCCTCTTTGTGATCAGTAGGGAAGATCTGATAATGAAATTGATCCCTTTCGTCCCAGCGTTTTCAGTCCTGGAGGCAATGTCAATTTGAATGGGTTTCACAAGGTATCTACAAAGATGCATTTGTACTGGGAAAGTTCTGTGGCCTGTGTTATACAGGAGGTCAGACTGGATGATCACCATGGTCCCTTCTGGCTTTGGAATCTGTGAATCTATATCATGTGCGCCACTAAACTCCAGCAAATGTCTGTTACTCATGGGTTGCAGCGTACGGCTTATCGTTCTTCCCCAGCGGAGAAGAAAGAGTTTGGACAGAAGTCTCTTGACTACCAGGCAGGCCCTCGAAGGGAGGAGAGGTCAGAGGGAGAATGGAGTGGGGGCAAGGTTTGAGACAGAGAGCATCTGCTAACAGCACATGGGGAAGAGGGTGGGAATGAATATTTGCCATCAGACAGAACATACAGCTGCAGTAGCCAAAAGCGTTTAGCTCTCAGTAGAGATGGTTGGAAAACAGTATTTTCTGAGAGAGATTTTGAAAAATATATATTTTTTTAAATATCCTTGGGTACCTTCCTTTTTGGGGGAGGGGCATGTCTTAAAAAAAAACAAACAGGAAACTTTGAACAAAGCAAAAAATTTTCAGGGTGTGAAGGAGGTGGAGAGGGCCATTGCTTGTCAAAAAAGCAAAAAAAAAAATAACCTCACTGGCAGGTTTTCGCCAAGCTGTAACTCTTGGCTTGGCGCACGCTGCACTGATGTCCTGCGGCTGTGAAAGGCTCTTTGCAGTCTGGTGTTGCTCTACAGTGCCTCTAGGAATGTGAATTGGACTTCAGTGTGTTGAACAAGTATTTGCTAGGCAAAGATTTTGGCCCAGGCGGAGAATATTTGGAAAATTAACTGCGTTGGAGGGAGAACTGATGTAGCTCATTTCCAAGAGAGAGCTGGCAGTCTCAGGGACGCCAGTGGCACCTGTTGCCCCAACCTGTATCTCTTCAGACTGAGCCTAAAGCTAGATGTGGGCTTCGCTTCACAACATCTGCCTGTGGGAAGAACCAGCAAGCGGGATGGTGTCTGAAGTTCTGCAGCCTGTGAGGCAGTATGACTGGAGGGAGGGACAGAACATACCTACCTCCCTGCGTTCAACACGCTGACTCTGGGTGCGTTGAGTTCATGCTAGCTCTGCCTAGCACGACAGACTTGGTGCTTGGCAAACCAGCAAGCTCCCAAACTCCCTGATGTGCTTGCAGCTTAATTGCCAAGCTTGGGAAAAGGCTGTGTTTAAAACCAAGCCAAGCGGTTCCTGCCTTCGGGGAAGTGGGAAGTCTGTCTCCCTGAATCTTGGGGAGCAGCTCAGATCCCTCCTCCCAAAATCAGACTAGCTGTGGCAGGCTGCACGCAGCACCTTACAGTGTCATGAGGTAACAGGGAGAGTCATGGCCAAATCCTCCATTCCCTCACCTGCTGCTCCCAGTGCATGGAGTGAGACAGCCCCAGTGCAGGGAGCTACCCCAGCCCTGCAGCTTCTGCACTGAATGGAATCAGTGGCTGAGATGAAGCAAGAAATCTGACTGTTGAAGATCCCCAGCTGTGGAGAAATCCTGCCGACTCCCCCTCCTGCTGGCTTGATGTGCTCCACCTGGAACATCACTTGGCTGGTACAAATTCCTGTAGTAAAATGTACTTCCTTGCCAGGTAGTGATTTCTAGACTTGCTGGTGTGTCAATCTTCAGCCAGTATATGCGAGATAAAGGGGAAGCCTCCCACTCCAACCCACAAACCACTTCTGCCTGCTGGGAGTGAGAAGAACTATCTCTCTTGGATTTCTCTTCTACCCACCTCCCAGCCAAATGATTGCTGAGAGGCCTGGGGTTGATTTGTATGGGACTGGCTCTGCGACTGTTCCACTCCCGCCGTCTGTTGCAATTGAGGAGGGGTCTCCAGTCTGCTTTCTCTCAACCCTCTGGCTGCTCCAGTGTGAGTGTCTTTGCTATTGGGCCCCTTCCCCAGCCTCTCTTTCTTTAGGATCACTTCCCCAGTAAATAGCTTCAATTCCTGCATCTGCTGCCCATCAGAGACTTCTCAAGATGCAGCAGAAAGAAATTGACCAGATTTGTCAGTTTTCAGAGCCTTGTAAGCAGCTGTGATAGCAGCAGTAGAAATGGGTAAAGCCCTGGCCTGCATTCACTTTGCTGCAGGTTGGCAAGGTCTGAGCAGCAGTAGAGGCCCAGGAGCAAGCTGCTTGCAGACTTAGGAAGACGGCACTGCATTGGTTCCTAGATGCGTGGTTATGCTTGAAACCATGAGGGCTAGAAAAGGAAGTTTTCTTCTTCCACTGGAATTTGGGATTCTGCAGAGGTTGGTGCTTGTTGTGTGGATTTCTACTTGCCATTGACATTAAAGTCCCTGCATGCAGTTATTCTAGGAGGCCCACGCATCCTGTAATACATTAATGCTTGTCTGTAAAATGGCATGATAAAACGGGCCATTGGGCTCCTAAAAATTGCTCCTAAAATCCAATTTACTTCCTTCTCAGATACGCCATTAACTTATTTCAAGGCTCAAGAACGCTTTCAGGAGCCAAATAAAAGTAGTCACTCATCAAAAATGCAAGCCTTGATCCATGTGCATGCCGGAGCATGTGTGAAGGAACCAAATGATTGGAGAAAATGCTGCCTGCCCAGAGAGAAATCAAATAATGCCACCCTCTTTGGGGAAGGTTTGGGGGACAAGGCGGGAGAAGCCAGCAGATAATGGCAAAGATCTTTGACAGGTTTCAGAGTAGCAGCCGTGTTAGTCTGTATTCGCAAAAAGAAAAGGAGTACTTGTGGCACCTTAGAGACTAACCAATTTATTTGAGCATAAGCTTTTGTGAGCTACAGCTCAGTTCATCTTTGTTTCAGCCGTGGTGAAGGACCTAGGACAGAGACCAATGTAGTCAGTGTGAAATGTAAATGAGACTATCTAGTGCTCTTTGTGCACACACTAATCCCCGCAGCAGTCCTTGGTAGCAGAGTTGGTAAGATTTGTCCTGGGGGAAACAAAGCACCCAAAGCAGAACTGGTTGCAAAATCCAAAATTATTTTTGGATTTTAAAAAACAGATTTTTGGGCATGTTTCCAGTTGCAAGGGAAACTTGCTGCTTTTGAAAACATTATAGAAACTTTTCATGACCAAAATTAAATTGTCTTGGGTGTTTTGAGAACAGTTTCAGTTTGGGGGGAGGAGAAAACATAGGAAAATGGTCCATTTCAAAAAGGAAAATTTTCCACACACAACTTCCTTGTTTATAACATTGACCAGCTTTGCCATGTGACTTTTAAAAGCTGGTGGTACTTTTTATTTGGGAAGAGAGGCGCCTTAGATCTTGATTGCCCCGCTTGGGGGAGGTGCTGAAAATCAGAAGCCACTTCTGAAAATGTTAGCTTAAGGGATATGCTGAAAGCCAGAAGGGGAATGAAAGCCAGACAACAGGAGTTTCTGGCTCCTAATGTCTCTTATTGTCTAGGGCAGGGGTTTTCAACCTTTTTCATCTGTGGACCCCTAAAACATTTTGAATGGAAGTGTGAACCCCTTTGGAAATCTTAAACATAGTCTGTGGACCTAGAGGTGGAAAACCACTGGTCTAGGTATGTAACAGTAACACTTCAAGGCCCCAGTTGAGATCAGGTCCCTTTTTTGCTTGGTGTTGTACAGACACATACTGAGAGAGCCCCAAAGAACTTACAGGCTATACAGGCTATACAACCATGTAAACATTGAAACCAGGACAGCAGGAAAATGAACAGTCCTTCCAGAGAGCTGGGTTTATGAGACTGACCAAGAAGCTGCTGCAGTGCCACCAGTGTGCTTCCAGTCGCCTTTCTCAGCCCGCCCACAGTGATGTCACTCTGCTGGCCTCATGTTGGAGGGACTCCAGGGCTTGGGTGGAGAGCAACCACCTCAAACTCTGTGTGAGCGAGGCTGGTAGAAAAGCAGAGGTCATCTGAGGAACTGACAGGAGACACAACTATCTAGTCTCCAGAGGACGTCCGCACTCTTACTGTCCAGGGGTTAAACAGTCTCCGGGTCTTGTTGCTCCCAGGTGTCCAGCACTGGTATCCTTTGGCTGCCTAGGAGGTTGCGCCCTTTCCTCTTGGATAAAGATCCAACCATGGTGACTTGCCTGCTCATCCAGGCCAGCCAGCAGCAGTGGCCTTCCTTGTCCCTGCGCACCCCACCCACATCACTATCCGAGCGCCTCCCCCATCCCACCAGTTGAATTGCTTTGCTGGAAACTTGAGGCCACCTCCTGCCCTTAGGCATGTTTCAAAATGCAGCAGCTGCAGCTGGAGAGTATGGTGGGAACTGCAGGAACACCCTACATCCCCCACTGCTTACCCCCTTCCAGCTAGTTACCAAGGGCCAGGGCTACAATCTGCCTGGTGCCTTGACCAGGCTGCTTCCACGGCAGAGACCAATGCTGCTGCCTTTTGAATTTTGAAACAGGAGGAAGCTGTTTAGAGCAGGGGTGGCCAATGGGCCATGTGCCACCTCTTCCAAAGCGGC